TTTTAGAGTGTGTGTGCTGGAGCTGAGAGCTTTCTGGAGCTTCCGTTTGTGGTGCAGACTCGAGGTCAGCTGTTCTCAACCTGTAGGTCACAAGCCCTTGGGGGGTCAAATGACCCTTTCACACGGGTCACATATCAAATGCCTTGCATATCAAATATTTACATTAGGATTCATAACAATAGAAAAAAATGCATTTATGAAGTAACAATGAAAATAATTTTATGGTTGGGGGTCACCACAACATGAGGAACTATATTAAAGGGTCACAGCACTAGGAAGGCTGAGAACCACTGCTCTAGATGGTATACTGTGGCACCAGTGACTGATGGACAGATGGACAGATGTAGATAAATTTAACCAGAATTGATCTATGAGACAACACTTGCCTTACTATGTGTTCTACACTCTTATCTCTTCTCTTTTTTGGTGGTTAGTATGGACCTAGGGCCTTGTGCATCCTGGGAAAGTGTTCTACCACTGAGCAACACTCTCAGCCCTTCTATTGGTTTGATTTGATTTGTTTTCATTATTCTGGAAATGCGTATTTGAAAAAAAGAAAAGATCACAGCACTGGCTGGGGTCAGCAGGGGTTAGCACAGAATGCTGTGGAAATACAAAGGCGGCACATTCATTTGCAGCTAGGGAATCGAAGATGCTTTCCTTCATAGAAGGGAATTGTCTTGAAGGTAATTCAGAAGAGAAGGAGCCACTCTGCTGTGTGAAGCCTTGGATGGGAGGGTGCGATGCGCTGAGATTGGCTGATCTGGCATGTGTGCCTCATTGGGGAAAAATGTATTTTGGTGACCTAGAAATGAAAGCCCTCTCTTCCAGGCTAGCCTCAGGCTAGCAGCTCCACAGCTGGCTTGCTGGTCTTCAGAAAACAGCACCACAGAGGTGATGCCTCAGCAGCCGTTTCTGAGGAAACGGCTCTTTTCTCCTGCATTCATTTTCGGGAGGAGACAAAGGGAAGCCTAAGCATGCTTGAGTGGGTCACGTTTTGTCTTGGTATTGAATTATTTTGTACGGAACAAGAATCAGCATAGTTCTTTACATCAAAGTGACACAGAAGAAAGGGACAAGAGTGGATCTGTGAATGTCTGATGGACCCACAGGCCTCAGCGCCTGTGATCTCCAAACACCTGCGTGTGTGTGTGTGTGTGTGTGTGTGTGTGTGTGTAAGGCCAAGGTCCATGCTACATTTCTCCCTCCATAGCTCTTCATATCTTTTGACACAGGGTCTTTCCCTGAACGTGGAGTTCATTGATTCGATTGTCTGGCTGGTCAACAACTGCAGGCACCACTTGTCTTTGCTGTCCTGTAAACCCAGTGCCAGGGTTAGAGATGTGCGCTGCTGGGCCTGGTATCCTCTGGGGGTGCCTGGGTCCAGTGTGCTGGGGTGCCTGGTAACCTTTGTGGGTGCCTGGGTCCAGTGCGCTGGGGTGCCTGGTATCCTTTGTGTGGATGACTGGATTCAAACTCAGATCTTGTGTTCATGCTGCAGGCTCCTAGCTTTCCCAGAAGTCCTTCTTCATCGTTTCTTGATAGACTTTTTCTACACCTTTTTTCTTTAGCACTAAGATTTTGGTTGTTTTTTTTTTCTTCTAGATTTTAGTCTGTTTACTAACTTTTGTTACTGTTAAATATCTCAGTAGGAAACAAAACACTTCATGCTTTTATTCAGAAATGACTCAGTAGTTGCAATCCGACATCTCTATTTTTTGTGAAGAATTTTATTTAACTCTTGCCTCCATTTAGAAGACTGTTTTCATTTCATAGAAATCTAATTTTTAATTTTTTATTGGACTTACAAATTAGATTCAAATTCAAATGATGTCTATATTTTTATTTTTAATTACTCTTAAGAGTAGAAATAAATTAAAATAGTGATAGGAGTGTGGAAATTTCACTTAATTATTCCCTGTGGAAGTAAGATCAGTCTTTGTTATCCTGACTCCAAATTTTTAGATCATTAAAAAAAGAAATATATTTGAAGCAGAGATGAACAGATCAATGTTGAACTCATGTGAAATGATTTTTTAAAAACCTCGTGTGATCCAAGCATATAGCACTTGTGATATAGAGGCAGGAAGATCATGAATTCAAGGTATGCTTGGCTCTATAATGAATTCAAGTTCAGCCTGAGCTACCCAAGATTGTCTCAAAAGGGAAACAAGGGGTTGGGGAGATGGCTTCAGGAGTAAGGCGCTGCCTGCATGCAACAGGACCTGAGTTTAAGTCAACACACTGTAAACCTAGTGCTCCCGTAGTGAGATGGAAATGGAGACAGGAGCAGGAGAACCCTGCAAGCCCATAGACCCACTAGCCTGGCACACGAAGAAACAAGCAAAGAAGAGATGCTGTCTCAAACAAGGCAGAGAAGGTGAGGACCAACACCTGAGATTGTTCACACACACATACACACACTCATACATATACACACATACGTGCACATACATGTACACACACATACACACATATACATACATATACACACATACTCACATATACATACATATACATATACTCATAAACACATACATAAGCACACACTCATGCACACCGTATATATATATATATATATATATATGCAATATTTAAGAAAACAAAACAAAAATCATTTTCAAATTTCAACAGTAAGGATTTGTACCCCAGGTCCTGAGTAGCAGAAATGAGATAGAGAACACTATATCCTGATATATGGGTCTCATTAGCTGTGAGATTTGGGCCTCATCCCTAAAAGAATAGGATTGTTTGGATACATTATGGGGCTGTTCTTATTAATTTACTCTTGTTTTTATGATGTGGCTTCTTTGAAAACTGTCTCCATCCTAACTGTGCCTCAGGTTTTTAATGATTTTGAAGTCAGCTGACTGCTCACCATTCCTCAAAGGTCTGCCTTAATCTGGATGGTAACCAGCTTTGACATCTTCCAGTGATGTGAAAGGCAGCTCATGCTGAGCAGGGTCCTCCCTGGTCCTTTGTGGTCCTTCGTGACCATCAGAGTTTGACAGCTCGGCAGCCTCCCTGCTCCAGCGTGAGGATTCTCTGCCTGGGCCTGAGCCGAGGCTGGTCATTGTTCCATTTGCAGAATCTCACTCACGCCCAACCTGCTTCTTAAGGTGGCATCAGCCATGTGTCAGCTCCATCAAAAGCCATCCTTTCAGCTTGAAAGTGAAATTCAAAGTGAATGTAGAGCTGTTGTTTTATTGTCTACATTCATAGAGAACACTAAATGAATGAAGCCACAAAAAATCATATACCCTTAATTTTTAAAATAGCAGGTATTTTATTGATTTCAAACCAAGAATTTGCCAGTGCCTTCTGTGTGAAATCTAACAGGGTTGATTTTCTCCTCTGTTCTCTGGCCTTAGGCCAGCACCACACTGTCGAGTAACTCTATTCTGTCCCAGCTGCTGCTCTTTAATTAGACGTTGGGATACCCTTGTAACAAATTATTCACTCAAAGAAGATTCTGTGCTTCCGAAGGAGTTAAAAACCTTGTGTGTAGTGTCTCAGATTCTATGTTGGCAGAAGTACCGCATAGATCTCCATGGGGAGAAAGGGACTCAGAATCTGTCTAGACGTGGATGGTCAAGGTCCTGAGCAGAGGAGATCCCATGAAGGTCTGATATCAGAGATGATGCTGCAAATGATGCCAGAGAGGAGAGAAAGGAAAAAAGAGACAGAAGGGAGATTGTTGATACAGTCGGCACCAAGCAATCGTGGAAACAGGATGTGTTCCTTGGTAGCGGTGAGGTGAGGATTGATTGAGAGGGAGAGAAGTGATACTTTAATTAAATTTAGAAAAAAACTAGACATATTGCAGGATCAAGAAGGCAAAGACCTAGAAGAGAGACCATTCCAGGGGCTGGAAACAATAGTGTTTAGAGAACTTCAAACAGTTGGACCACAAAGTCAGAGCCAGTGGACTTCTATCAAGCTGATTTGCACAAAGGAGGCCAGTCCTTGGAGAGTGCTATTAGCCACTTGCAAGGATTGCCTTTGCAGAGCCCAAGGGGACCATTCAGAGAATTCTAACACAGATGAGTTGGATGATATCAAATTAACTCCCTGTGTTTGTCTTCAGGTGTCTTTCAGCTTTTAGAGGAGAAACATTGTTCTAGATGTGGTCGACAGTCTTTCAAGCTAGCTGTGGCTCTCTCCCTGAAGACAGTAGTGCAGCATCACAGTATTCCTCAGACCTCCAGGACTCTGACAGCTATCTGGGCCACATCAAGAGAGTGCTGTGGCTGCTGCATCTTCATGTGACCTTGACTGTTCCAACTCAGAAATTAAGAGTCCCCAGCCATGCGTGCTGAGCCCCAGTAGCACTGCTCCCCTCTGTCATTGTGGAAGTAAATTTTCAGATGCTCCCGGGGCTGAAGAGTTGAAAGTGGTCCCTGTCCCCTTTCCCATCACCAAGTGTTGGCTCCACACATTTACCAGTGCCCAGCTGACAATGGTCGTTGTAGCCAGTTGATTTTGTTGATACTGTTTTTTCAGTCATGAGGATTGACCCTAAAACCTTGTGTATGCTGGGCTTGTACTCTACCACTAAGCCATATTCCTAGCCCAACATGCAGAATGTTTTAAGAACTGAAAGTAAGTCTCTTCAGTTCCTATTTACTGAGATTTCCTCATCCCCTCCATCCAGATTGGTCTGTACTTGTGCGTGAATCTGCCGCTCACACAAGCCCTGGTCTAGTGCTTTTGATAGAAAGAAAATTGGATTGTCTAACATTCCCATTTCATTTACTTGATGATCCCCTGTGAAAATGAGTAAAAAAGATGACATAACAGGGAATGTTTTTAAAAAACAAATACTAACTAGAATTAGGTCTTTAAAACATTTCTATTGTCTATCTATGTTTTTGTCTGTCTGGTTTCTGGCATACTGGAATATTGATCTAGCCATTGATCTTTATGTGATTGGAATGGAAAACTAACATTGTTCATCACAACTAAATCTTGTTTTGTTTTGTTTTTTTTTTTTCTTACAGGGTCGTCATGTCAAAACAGGACAGCTTGCAGCCATCAAGGTTATGGATGTCACAGGGGTAAGGCATTTTTATCATATCATCTCATTAGCTATATGGTTGTAACAAAGAAGTGAGTGACAGAACAATAAAATTTGCCAGAAAAGTGATCTTCCTAAATATTCCAGATCCTTTCCCGTTTGTGATTCGTGTGAAGAAATACGAATCTCCACAGCCAACTGAGCAGGCCACGAATAAATCACTGCGGCTAAATCCAGTACTACACACTGCCTTAGGCTGTTAGACTGGAGAATGTGTGCCAATAATTTACATAAACATAACCACGGACATTTGCATTTGAAGGCAAAGCAAGGATTCCAAAGCATTAAAATTATAACCCTGCATTACAAAGAAGAGATGGGCCTTAACTGTTTCCCTAAAGGGCTGCCCAACACTGAAGTAGAGGAGATCTTGGATAGTTATAAAATCCTCATACTACACTTAATATGAACATTTTCTAAAATAAAATGTTTTTGACCAGATAATCACCTGCAAATTCCTATTTATTAAAGAACAACTCTAAACCAAACTTCTGCGTGGATGAACAAACAATCTAATATTCCTTTAGACTTTACATTAAATACAATCAAATGCTTTCAGTACTTTTGCTTGGTCTAATTTAAAATATTTTAATGACTTTTCAAGATTGTAGAACGGAAATCAGATTTTAAAGGATTCATGGGACATCAAAACATGTTATTAATTTTCTATTGTTCTGGGAATTTTTCCAAGATGTCTGTCGTTTTATGTTGTACATAAAAGCTAAAAGACCAGAGTCTCTGTTTGGCCAGAAGTAAAATACTGAATATAAACAGACATCAAGTGAAGGAGTCACACAAAGATACCAATAACCAAGAAACAGACTTTAAAAAGAAAAAGGGCACACTGTCTGCACATTAGCTGTGAAGCCCCCTTTAGACGATCTGTTAACTTTGGTAAATATGTGTTGGAAGGCTCTTCAGAAAACCTGTCACCAATATCCATACATATCAAACATAGTATTAATTATTTGTTTACTCATTCTTTATTATTGATCTAAACTTCTCTCTAAATTACTCTTTTCAGTTTAATGAACTATAGGAACAAGATTTTCCTTTTATTACCAGTTGACTGACACTAAAATGTTTATTACTAGTTGTGTGCTTTTGTGTTTCTTTTTACTGTCCTTGGTACATTTTTTCAATTTCAGTGTTGTAAACTAATTCAAATATTTGACCTCAGTTAGTTTATTAAGTCACCTGACTAAGAAATGCGCATGGATTATCTAAATTAAAGTTATGTTCTGCCACTTGAAACAGAGGGTTAAGCATGATAAAAAAAAGTGTCTTTTTCCATCATGTTAAAAAGAATGCTTAGTGTTAATTATGAAGCTGATAAAAATCTAGAATCTCTGGAGAGACAGGCCTCTGAGCATGCCTGTGGGGGGAGGTGTCTTGATTGTATTAGTGGAGATGAAAAGACTTGCCCACTCTGGGTGGTACTATTCCCCTGGCTGGGATCCTGGACTGTGTAATAGAGAAAGAGAACTGAGCAGCAGCTGAATCCATCACTTTCTGGTCCTGATGGTGGATATCATGTGACCAGCTGCTCCAGACTCCAGCCACCATTACTTTCCTCCTGTGGTGGGCTGACCCCTTGAACTGTGACCATGATTAAACCCTTCTCCCTTAATTTGCTTTTATCGGAGTATTCATCACAGCAACCAGCAGAGAAATGAAGACAAGAGTGTCAGGGTGCCCTGCAGCAGTGTGGTGAGACAGAGGATGCTTATCCATCCTCTGCTCTGTCACTTTACCTCACAGCCTCCCTGCCTGTGAGGGTCACTTTGGAGTTCGGTGTAATCATGGATTTTATTCACCACTAAATTAAAAGAGGACACTCAAGTGGGGAGTAGGGATGGGGGAGTGAGTGTGGGAGGAGTTAAGGGAGAAATTGGGGCAAATATAATCAAAATGTCTTGTGTAAAATTCTCAATAATTAACTTAATTGTTTTTTAAAAGAAGAAAAAAATAGGACCTAAGGGGATCCAGAAGGAATGGGAGGGAAGATGTGTAGGCTGTATATAATCTAAATCTGTATACTTATAAGAAATCACCAGAAAAGAAAAAAAATGTAGCTGCTATAAGTCAGAAGTAAAGGAGTGGATATTGGAATAGTGAATTAGCAGGATATGACACACAACTCAAAATCTGGTATTGTGAGCCTCTATTTATAAGCTTATACTAAATGTATAAGCCTTTTACAAAGCCCCAACTACAAAACAAATCAGATTTTGTTTAGCAGATTTGCTGTTATCCTTGGATTGAGTCACACTTCTGCACAATAAGATGTGCTTGGTGTCTTAGTGACTAATGGCTGTGGTGAACCAAGGTGGCCACACTGTGGACTGAGTTCTGTTGTGTGTCTCTGTGACAGCTGAGTTTCACTGACGTCACGGCCGGGGGTACATAAAGCTGTTTATTGATGTGAAAGTGGGACTTGAGGACAATAAATATCACTCTTCTAGTTCCTGGTTTTCCAGGTGAGGTTTTAAATTATTCCAAGAACAACTGTTAGTACTCCTGGCTACCTTGCTTGCAGTCAAAAAATGTTACTCAATTATATAGCCTGGTAATGCATTTTATATATATATAAAAAGGATTAAGGAATATCGGCTAGCTTTTCTCACTGGGTTTCTGTTGGCAAGCAAACCCTTTGAAAAATTATTTGACAGCTTTTCTCTCAATTGCCCCAAGGCTGATAGACAGAGAATGCCATTCTACATGTTTCAAAATGCCAGCCTGTTACATAAAACAGGCACTTTATGGTATATGAGTTCTGTTCTCTTGGAGAACCCATTTTCAGAAGAGCTGGATGCAGTTCTGTGATTTAGTCACAGCTTTGACTCTTACTTAACCACTGGCCCTCGACAAAGGCAGATGTGGTGTACAGCAGGAGATGGGTTTATTGCTGCCCTGCTGTCTGAGGCAGGAGCCAATGAGCTTTGCGTCGTCGTCACGTCCCTGCCCGTCACAGTCCTCAACAGCTTTCCTGTTAAACTCTGTGATGTTCCCTTTAGAAAGCAATTGATCCTATTCTGTCACGTTGTCTTTTGTGTGTTGGGGAATCCGGTGCAAGTGCTTCTCATCAATTATTTTAATTGTGCTCATTATGGCTGTTCTGTTCAAAGCTGAGATGAGTTCTCACGGGTCATCTTTGTTGATTGTCCCGTGACCTACTGCAAGGCGACCGCAGTTCATTGCAATGGAACCGATGAGGACAGAAGCCAGAAATTCATTTTCATATTCTTGCTTAGTCTATATTGCTTCCTTTTATAGAAAACGGTCACAAAGAGGGCCTAATGCAGAGCCTGCATCCTTCCAGTGTTAGTGCTGAGACACCCCAACATTGGCCGCATTGGCTTCAGAATTCCTGCCTACACTCCATCTTGGTCTTCAGAGTCCTTGTAGGTTCCTAAATCATTATGAACATTCTCCCATTCATTGCCTTGTGAGAATTCCTTCACCACTGCATTTGAAACTCCAAATTCACCTACAGGAGCTAAGCGGACCTAGACCCATTAAAGTGGTATTTGTCAAAGTGCCAACAAGTGGCCCCTCAGTAGTTTTGGGGTGTCACAAAACATGCAGATTCCCAGGCCTGCTGTAGAATCCCTGCTGGTTCTCCCCTTTCTCCAAATTCCTTAGGAGAAGTACTAGGGCTGGAACCATAGCTCAGCAGTTAAGAGTCTATAGTGCTCTTCCAGAGGACCCAAGTTTGGTTCCTTGTACTCACATTATGGACAACTCACAGCTGCCTGTGACACCAGCTCCGGGGACATCCCATGTCTCTGACCTTCGTGGGTACCTGCATTCACATACAAGTACCCACATGAAGACACACATCATGCTTGTCATTAAAATATAAAATAGCTCTTTAAAAAGAGAGAAAGATGCCACATTACCAAAGGTACGGCTTTCCTTTCCTGGCATTTTGTATCTACCTTTTTCTGGCCCCAGGTGTGATGAGACTGGGGGTCTTTGATTATAAATGTTCCCCACTTTCAAGTCAAAACTATTGGTGTAAATTAATCCCTTTATGGTTACAGCCTAAACTGCATCTAAGATGTAATGAAATAATAACCATTTCTAAACTTTCACCTTTATGCTGACCAATCATGGTTTCATTAATCAAGGCATTTTGAGTTTTATTATTGTTCCCGTTGACACTAAAGGGAACTGGAAAAAGGACTTTACTAGCTTGTGTATATTTAAAACACACACACACACACACACACACACACACACACACACACACACACACACACAACTCAGCAAGGTCCAGAAACACATGCGGCAGGTGGCATGATGGGAGTTCTGTCTCTGGACTCTACTTTCTGCTCTGACTTCCTCTTCAGCAGGACTCCACTGCTGGAGTGAGTATGTGTGACCTGTCTTGAATCAAGAATCTCAGTCTCTAGATCTTTCCAGTTACATCTGGGTTGAAAACCTGACTTGAACGTACCACAGGGAAGGCTGATTCTCAAAGGGGAGTCAGAGCTAGTGGAGAAGAAGCAAGGATGATGTCAGATAGACAAAACAGGGGAATGCACATCCAACCATCATGCTCACGTCATCCATCATGTCTTATTCTGGCATCAGAGTGAGGATGTTCAGACTTATTTGGTCCTTAAATGTTCTTCTAGTTACATTTTTATATTCCAGCCCCAAATAAATAATACTGGAAGCTAACACTGATGCAAATTTTCCCAAATTGCTTTAAATGCTGTGTGTATGGATAAATATATACATATATATGTGTGTGTATTCATATATTCTCATATATAGATATATATTTGATTCCCTCAATAACTTAAAAAATGGGTTAATTTGTCCCATTTCAGAGATGTGGAACCCAAGCATATTAAGTACCTTGCTCAATGTAGCATGGTTATTAAAATGATATGCAGTTTAATACCATCCTTTATTTATACCCTTTTGACTTTATAGCTATAGGTCCACAATTAATGTAGAAAGATATTT